GGCGGGGGGTTGGGGGAGTGGGGGTGGGTGCTGGGCCGAGACCCAGGCGTGGTTCCAGCCTGGCCTTGGCAGGTTGATGGGTGACGGAGGTGCCAACTGTTGAAGTGGGTGTACCCACAAATTCCCGGCTAATGCTCACCTCCTCCTCCCTCTAACTCCCCCGTGCTGCCGAGCAAAGCTAGGCCGGTGAATCCTGCTCTTCTGCCCGTTCTGTTAAGGTAGAAACCCCTGACACTTAGGAGAGGAGAAAGTCCGTGTCATTTGTGTTATTGTTTTCCCTTAAGTGACAAATTGTTGGGTGTGTGGTGAGCTCTTTCAGTTTCAGAATATGAGAAAATGGTATTTCCTTGTTGCACTTGCTATGTACTAACTCAGCGAGGAAATGTGGTTATTGCGGGTGATGCTCTCCACTAAACTCCTAAATTGGATAATGTACATTTTACACAATTGAGTAAGTGCTGTCTGCCATCGCTGCCTTTTATTGAGGCTCTTAAATCCATGGATGAATATGAACAACAAATGATATATTATCTTGTTTAAAAAAAAACTTGGAGGGAGAGTGAGGTTAAATGCAAATATTTCTGATAGTTGTTTGAAGGAGATTGTGGATTTAGAATTGATGAGACAGTTGCTTTAAGGAATTCTTAAAGTAACATGACTAGATCAGATTTAGATCAGAATATCTATAGCTTCTTGTACAACCTATATAAATTATTTGTTTCTTATGGTCTTCCCTGGTAAATTCTGATGAATAATTAGAGTCAAGCAATATCCAGATTCTAGCATCTTACCCCTCATAGAAATTGTCTCAGAATTTATCCTGATTTAATCCAAGTGTGAGTTCTTGTTTTACAAAACAAACAAGTTAAACAAAAAAAGTGTCAACAAACATTCCTCAATTAGTAGGGTCGAGAATTTTTTTAAAAAGAAGCTAATGTGGACATTAAGAATTAGAAATGAAATCTCAAATAATACCACTCTTGTTATTAGGGTGAAAATGAAACTTCTAGTTCTCATTTTGGTCTTTAAACTCTCCATGATCTGGTCCAACTTTGTAGTATGAGTGAAAAATTTATTTCTGTCTCCTTGTGGTTACTCATTCTGTTCTACAGCACCTATCCTAATTTTACTCATCTTGCAAGGGTCAGGTCCATGTTGTATTTACTTTTCTCTGATCTCCTGAGAGAGTTATTATTCACATCACACATTTTGTATATACTCACTCAGCATGATTTTTGGCAAGCTGGTTTATGGTCTGTAGAGCCCAGTTAAAATGTAATGCACAATGAAGGCAATAAGGATAACTTTCAAAACACTAGTTATTGAGTCCTGGTCAGTGTGGCTTAGTTGGTTGGAGTGTTGTCCCCTGCACTGAAGGGCACATGCCCAGGTGGGGTGTGGGGGTGGGGCATGTGGGAGGTGGCTGATGGATGTTTTTTTCTCTCTCTCTCCCTTTCTGTCTTTGAAAGATCAATTAAAAACAAACAAACCAACAAAAAACAAAACAAAAACACTAGTTATTGATATAGTTTAGACTCTAAACTTTAAAGTATCAGTAACACCAGTGTCTTTTTGTTTTTGGATTTGTTGTGTATATCTCTATACTAAACCAATTTTGTGTTATTTAGAATAATATTTAAATTGCTTTCCACTTTCTAAGCACTTTTTGGATGACTTAGATGTGCAAAATAGTCTTGTAAATATTGGGTAGCTGGAGGAATCAAGTGTAGGATTTTTAAATATTTAAAATAATCCTTAAAGTAGATAATCTTTTAAGTATTGTGAGTAATTGAGTTAACTATATTTGGCATGATACATGATGAACTCTTTCTTAGTAACTGAAGGTCTAGAAAGGGGAAATTTGGTATTTTTATGTTCAATATATGCAACTAGCTTATAGACGTTAGAAAGCAGGCTCCTAACAATTTCAAATAATGTATTAGGAAAAGGAAAAACTGTAGTCACTTTAATGATTTTCAATCTAAAATATAAAAGAAAACCCCACCATGATATGGTAAAAAATATGTTTAATTAGAATTTTTTAAAATATTCTTTAAGATTTTTTTTTATTGATTTCAGAGAGGAAGGGAGAGGGAGAGAGAGATAGAAACATCAACAATGAGAGAGAATAATTGATTGGCTGCCTCTTGCACACCCCCTATTGGTGATTGAGCTTGCAACCTGGGCATGTGCTCTTGACCAGAATCGAACCAGGACCCTTTAGTCCACAGGCCTATGCTCTATCCACTGAGCCAAACTGGCTAGGGCCTTAATTAGAATTTGATAGGCAGATTCCAATCCTGGCTCTACCAAATGACCTTGGCCAAATCAGTTAACCTTCCTGTGTTTTACAAACTTTTATAAAAGTAAGGTCTGAACCAAACCATCTCTAAGATAATTTTTGGTCCCAGAATTCTCTATTATCAAGGATACTGTAACTGATTGTTACTTGGGAAAAAAGGCCATGTAATGGATTCCTGGATTGATGTCCTTTTTTGCTGATATGAGCATGAGAAACACTAACATCTATACTGATATCTTCGTACAGGGAAGGGTTGAAGTTCAACCCAGCTGGTATTTTATTTTGAACCTCACTTCCCCATCGACTCTCATTTTCAAAGGGAAAAACGGAGTTGAGCATCAGGGGACCAGTTGTGTTCATTACTGCTACCATGGAGAAACTTGGAAGCCATGTTTTCTCTACCCCACTCCTTTTCACTGTTAGCATTATGACATTGACAGTAACAAGCAGCAACCCAGGTTTCTTGGCTCAGGGCAGTGCCTTGGAGAAAGACACCTGGGCCTCTTGCAAAATCTGGTTTAATGTCAGAGAGGAAGAGATTGTATTTCTTCTCCTTGGCTGTGTTCTTTTCATTGGCCTATAGCTGCATCCGGGCCCAGGTTATGGCAATGCTCAGCGAGTGCTAACATGCCCCTTCAAAAAATGACATTTAAAGGTTGTATGTCAAACTGGTTTATTGCTTTTTAACAGAACCGATTTTCATTATTTCAATATATAACGATTTCGTTTTTAAGACAGGAAGGGTATTAATATTTATTGAGCATTTACTATTGCCGTGTATTATCTACTCACACTGTATTCATTCTTCTTTTCATCCAATCAAAAACTTACAAAGAAGTATTAGTTTAATTTTATAGGTAGAAAAATTGAGAGACTCAGAGGGACAGGTAATGTTCTAGTACATAGGAGTGGTTAGGTTTCAATCTGTTGTTTAATTTTGACCATGGTGTGGTAAAAGTCATATGCCTTTCCCACATATGACATGCATATGGTTACTCTTCTGCTTAAGATTTTTATGTTAAATATGCCATAAGAGTAAAGAAATATATCTGTTCTTAGAATTTGAGCACATCTTATTTTCTTACAGGCTGCTTAGAAATAATTATGTTCACTAATGAGTTTGCACATGAGCTAACTGCTTTGAATTTTATAGTTAGGTAGTGGGGTTTCAAAAAAGAATTTGAGATATTTTGCTTTATTACTGATCTTTGTGACAGACTGGGGCCAAAGTTAATTTTTAAAAGTAGTGGTAAAGGTGAAGAAAGATTCCAGTTAGGGATTTAATGGGAAAACTTACCCTATATCTTGAAGTCTTATTGCTGAGAAAAATAAACTTTTAGTTGGAGTTCTTCTTATTTATTTAAAAAGGGAGCAATACAGTAAAACCTGGGTACCATAATCACTATCTTTGTCTATTCCATTTTTTATTCTGTTTATTTAATACTAGAGGCCCGGTGCACAAAAATTTGTGCGCTGGGGGCGGGGTGTCCCTCAGCCCGGCCTGTGCCCTCTCGCAGTCTGGGACCCCTCGGGAGATAACGACCTGCTGGCTTAGACCTGCTCCTGGGTGGCAGAGGGCAGGCCCAATCCCTAGGTGCAGCCCCTGGTCGGGCTCAGGGTAGGGCCGATTGGGGGGTTGGGGCACCGCCCCCTGTCACACTAAAGGCAGGGTCGATGGGGAGGTTGCGGTGCCACCCCCTGTCATGCACAGAGCAGGCCAATCAGGGGGTTGGGGCACTGCCCCCTGTCACTCACAGAGCAGGACCCATCAGGGGGGTTGGGGCTCTGTACCCTGTCACGCACAGAGCAGGGCCAATCAGGGGGTTGGGGCACCGCCCTCTATCACCCACAGAGCAGGGCTGATCAGGGGGTTCGGGTGCCGCCACTCTCACACTCAGGGCAGGGCCGATGGGGAGGTTATGGCTCTATCCCGTCACACACAGAGCAGGGCCCGTGGGGGGTGGGGGGGTTGGGCACCGCCCCCTGTCACACACAGAGCCGCAGGGCGATCAGGGGATTTGGGTGCTGCCCCCTGTCATGCTGATCCCGGTGCTGGGAGGCCTGATAGCCCGTCGCTAACTGGTTTGAGCACTGCCAGTAACTAAGTGCTGATCCCGGTGCTGGGAGGCATATTACCCTTTATAGGGTAGAGGCCTGGTGCACGGGTGGGGCTGTCTGGTTTTCCCTGAAGGGTGTCCTGGATCAGGGTGGGGAGTCCCCACTGGGGTGCCTGGCCAGTCTGGGTGAGGGGCTGAGGGCTGTTTTCAGGCTGGGGGTGACTGAAGCTCCCAACCGCTCCTTTTTTTCTTTTTCTTTTTTTTTTTTATTCTGGGCCAGCTTTAGCTTTGAGGCTTGGCTCCAGCTCTTAGGCCTCCGCGGCTGAAAGTAGGTTTCTGGCCTTTGCTTACAATGTTGCGAATCTGCTGGCTGAAGTCTGGTAGTATTTGTTAAAATGTTTCTGAAACCGCAGGCTCAGAGGCCTGCAACGGCAGGCGGGGAATGTTGGTTTCCTCCGTCACTGAGGCAAGCAAGCCTCATGTTAGTTTCAAGCTGCCTGGCTGCCGGCCGCCATCTTGGCTGACAGTTAATTTGCATATCTTGCTGATCAGCCAATGAAAAGGGTAGCGGTCATACGCCAATTACCATGTTTCTCTTTTATTAGTGTAGATAGCTCTCTCCCTTCACTACTGGAATATGATAGAATTTAGTCTTCTTCCACATCATAACCACTTAGTACTTTTTTAAAGAGGATGTACAAATGCATACACTGTCATGCCATTACCACTGTAATATGCCTACATTTATGTTTATATTTAATGTTTTTATTTTTTTACATTTAGATCCTGTTAAGAGTCCATTTTTAGTGAAAAAGCATTGAGCTTGGAGCCAGGACCAACTCCTTATTAATTTGATATTGTGCAAGTCATCTGGAGAGAGATCTCAGTTGCCTCATCTGTGAAAAGGAGATAAAAATTCTTAATTTATCTGAAGGTAAGTGATCAGTTAAGAAGCCAAAAAAAGAAAAACAGACTTAATGATGACTTAAACACATAGTATCTATTTTTTCATGTGAAATAATTCTTGAAGCAGGCAGTCTAGGTTAGGTGTGGTAGCTTCACGAAGGCATCAAGGACCTAAGCTTTTTCTAATTCTTTGATCTGCTATCTGTAGGGTATGGCCCTGGTCCTTATAGTCTGAGAGAGCTGCTAGGGCTCTAACCATCATAGCCAAGTTCCAGGCATCGAGGCAAAAACAAAGAAGGATGTATGCTCTCCTTTTGGAGAGACATCCTTAACCTCAGGTTACCAGGGAAGCAGGAAAATGCAGCTACCCTGAATAAAACTGGGCTTTTGTTGTTGAGGAGGAAGGGAAGATGTAACTATTGGCAGCAAATAGAATTACCTTCCAGAGTATGGATCTTTTTCTCTTTTATCTCTGAGAACTGGTAAGCCATGATAACCAGTCATAGACGCTTTGGTAATTTTCCATGGTACAACTTCTAAGTCTGACCATGTCTACAGAAGAAAATAAATAATAAATTGTGTTTTTTGTTTTTTTACTTTTATCCCATGATTCATTATAGAAGCCTTTCTGTCTCTATTGGGATTTATTCTGATTATTTTTAAAATTACTCATAAATGCTAATAGATTTTTGTGTGTGCAATTTATAGATGTGTTAAAATAGAGCTATCTTTTTTTTGGGGGGGGGGCACTTGCTTTATGTAAGGCACTAAAAAGACAGAGAGATAAGTTAGTTATCCCAAGGGTATCACATAATCATTGGAAGTAAAAAAATTTTTCAGTTATCAATAATCGTGCCTTGGATAAACCTCATGGGCTCCAATACTGCCACTGTGCAAAGCTAGGAAGTAAATGTGTTGTTTTTTTAATTCTCACTTCCTCATTTGAGGATATGTTTAGAGAGAGAGAGAAGGGAGAAAAGAGAGGGGAGAGAGAGAGAGAGAGAGAGAGAGAGAGAGAAAGAGAGAGAGAGAGAGAGACAAGAGTTGGGAGATAAACATGGATCAATCAGTTGCCTCTTGTACCTGCCCCCTGGGGATCGAGCCTGCAAGCTGAGTATGTGTCCTCACTGAGAATCGAACTTGAAACTTTTTGGTGTACAGTACAACACTCCAATTAACTGAGCCACCCGGCCAGGGTTATGAAGTAAATTTTTGATGAAAAGTATAATCCATCTCAATATACATTTAACCTCAGTATGATCACATGAGGGACACTTTTGCCTTCCTTGTTAGTCAGAAGTTATGGTTTTCATTCTTTAGCCATTTGACTGCTATCTATCTTGAAATTTCTTCTTACTATACTAGGGTTTTTGTTTTTTTTTTAACTTTACTAGTTCTTGCTTAACTTACTTAGGTATACCAGTATTTTATTTTATTCCAGACTTTCATTTGAAATACTATATGAATATACTCTATACTTGTCATGTGAAATGGTTTAGTTGCTATTATATCTGTGGAGAAAGTAACTTGAAATAGTTTTGAGAAAAGGAAACTGAAATTCAGGGAATGTAAATTGGAGAGGGGAAGGATCTAAAGAGTCAATCAATCTTTTGGGATTATTAGAAGGAAGATAAGAAACAAATTATGATTTTTTTCTACCAATTATATGTTTTCCAAGATTTTGAATTTTTTGTTGTATCACTTAGGGACAAAGTATCGTAACTCTTTTGCTACTAGTGCTTTTTAAAAAATTGTTGACAATATTACAACTGTCCCCCTCCCCCTGCTCCTTAACCCTTCTTCACCCAGCCCCCACCCCAGGGATTCCGCACACTATTGTCTGTGTCCATGAGCAATGCATATATGCATATATGTTCCTTGGTTAATCTCTTCCCATCTCCCCCATACCCCCTGAGATCTGTCATTCTGTCCCATGCATCCATGGCTTTGGACCTATTTTGTTTCTCAGCTTATTTATTTATTTTTAATATATGTTTTATTGATTTCAGAGATGAAGGGAGAGAGAGAGGGAGAGTTAGAAACATCAATGATGAGAGGGAATCATTGATTGACTGTCTCGTGCCAGCCTGGTCAGCCCTCACTAACCCCCCTGCTGGCCTGGTCACCCTTTGCAGCCTGCTGTTCAGTTGTTACTCAGAAAATGTTTGGTCTAATTAGCATATTACCCTTTTACTAGTATAGATTACTTTTAAAAAATATTTTTATTGATTTCAGAGAGAAAGAGAGAGGGAGAGATAGAAATATCAATGATGACAATTATTGATGGGCTGCTTCCTGTATGCCACCTACTGGGGACAGAACCTGAAATTCAGGCATGTGCCCCTGACTGGAATCGAACTTGGGGACCCTTTAGTTCGAAGGCTGATGCTCTATCCACTGAACCAAATCAGCTAGGGTTGGGCATCATTTTAATTCTTGTAATAGACCCTCTGGAGCTACTGAGAGCCTCTGGAATGGAAGCCGAATAAGGAAAATTTGAATCATATTGTGGGACCAGCAATAGTTGTTCCTTGTTTGTCTCAATCCTGTTACATCCTGCTAGATATTTTATTGATCTATTTATTTGAAAAATTATTGACTAGAAATAATTTTAGCAAATGACTATTGGCTATGGTAATGATTAGTAAGGTTAAGAGAATATTTGTAACTAGTTATTTGTTTCTTTTAATCAACTTGTGCCCATAGAACACCCTTTTTACAAAATTAAGTTGAAGCTAATTAAATCTTATATCCAGAAGTAATTTTGGCTCTCTAATATCTTAATTGAGGGAAAAAAGTGAATTTTTTTCTCTTATTCTCCCTTTCTAAAACATGGGCCATTTATTTTTTTAAATTTTGAGTCCTTCATTGCCATCTTTATTTGAAGCTTTTATAATTAACCAATTGTTTTCTTATACTATATAAACTGTTAAAATTTTATTTCCTTTTTAATTTTAGTGAGAAGCATTTCTCCCTTGATTTTCTTTAGTGCTATATTTTGAGCATTATTTTTATGTTATAACCTGTTTTAATCCTTTTCCTAGAATTCTTTTGTTGTATTAAACTTCTTGAAATTTAATATATTACTAATGTGGCTTTGGGAATTCATGTATATACAGTTTGAAAACATCTTTTCAGGACCTTTCTATAATTACACCTTTATTTCAGATGAGGTGGAGTACCATCCTACAGCAATGTTATTTTCTCTCGGTTACATGTCTACTTACTGCTCTTGAAGCTGTGCCTATAGACATAGACAAGACAAAAGTAAAAGGTGCTCAGCCTGTGGACAGTGCAAAGATAGAACCACCAGTAAGTCAAATGACAAATATAATTTTATGGAAGGAATTTTAACTGAAATATTGCTAATATTTATTAGTTATAAAATTGGACATTGAGAAACTATTTTGAAATAGCACTGAAAAGAGTATAGGACAAGCATATATTATTTAATATTAGACAATGTTTTTTAATGCAGTTAATATATATATATATTTAAATATATTTTTATTGATTTCAGAGAAGAAGGGAGAAGGTGAGAGAGATAGAACATCAACGATGAGAGAGAATCACTGATAAGACTGGGGATTAAGCCTGCAACCTGGGCATATGGCCTGACTGGGAATTGAACCATGACCTTCTAGCCCTAGGTCAGTGCTCAACCACTGAGCCATGCTGGCCAGGCCTAAATGTAGTTAGTATATTAAGTAATGTATAGAAGAATTAATCACAATACATTTCTAATGTAGAGCTAACCAGCCAAAAAAACATTGTATTATATTCAAAGGAGAGATAGATGGCAATGAGGAGAAACAGGTACCAATGGGGTAAAACCAATTAATGTTTTTTTTTTTGAAATCTTTATTGACTAAGCCATATAGAAAACCTACCTTTATGTAACAGTAAAACACAATTTTGGTGTGATCCCTGAAACATGGTTTCTGCATCTCTTCATTTGAGATTTTTAACTTTGACTGCCCAAACTATCAAAGTAGTTCAATGCTATTTTGCTAGACTTCTTTGTTGTTGTTGTTAAATTGAGATCTTTAGATGCAGGGAAGGAAAATCTTTCAGAAGTTTACTGTTTGTTTCTTAATTTGAAGGATACTGGACTATATTATGATGAATATCTCAAGCAAGTGATTGATGTGCTGGAAACAGATAATCATTTCAGAGAAAAGCTCCAGAAAGCAGACATAGAGGAAATAAAGGTAAAAGTAATTAAATAATTATTTTAAAAATATTTGAACATGCCGACACCAATCTAAGTGCTGGGGATATAAAGAGGCGACTCACTCCCAGCCCTTATAGAACCCTCAAGGGAGACTAACATCCAGAAGATTATTAAGACGAGTAGATAGTATATTTTGGATGTACAGAGA